TTTCTTTTCCGGGTTTTTTATTTTCCGGATTTTTGGTTTTCCGGATTTTTGTTTTCCGAATTTTTTGTTTTCCGGATTTTTATCTTCCGGATTACAAGACATATTCATTGATTAGACCTTTTTTTTTTATTTTATTTAAACAAACTGATAGAAATAGATGGATTGTTTTGACTTCTATATTCTATATCAGTTCGGAGTCATTTATTTCTTAAATCAATATAGAACATTTTCGAATAATTCATTTAAACCGAATTTATTTTCATAGAGATGGTTTTTTTTTAATTTGTTGAACTATTTCCTAGAATATATCTCTCTGAAAACAATTCTCTTGATCTGATTTCATTTATTGTCTTTCAATTATAATTATATTAGCACTTCATTAAAAAATAAAATAAAATAAGTGATTTCCTAGTAAGATATTTATAATTTATCTTCTAAATATAATCAATAAGATCGACTAGGATATAACATATCATCATCATCATCTTTTAACCATTCTAATAGTGTCACGGGAGTTGTTCGTAGCCACCTATAACCAATGCCATATCTGGATGATATTGATTGACCTCCTCTATTAAATGATCCAGATTTATATGTAGAATGGAGATTTATAGAAATGAATGGTCTTTACGATGTTGAACCATTAGATGGTGGAAAAAAAACGGTGGTATGGATCGTCTATCAATAATTAAGAAATAATTTCTTGAGAAAAATCGAAATAGAATCACTCTTATACCGGGTGATATTCTTAGTTCATCAGTATTAGATATTGAAATATTTATTAACAAATTTAGAAAAATAAACATATGAAATAAACTATTGTAATGATTAAATATAAAGGTTTTTTGTAGAGAAATAAAAAAAGAAATTTTTTTTTTATTGATTTTAGTTTATTTAGTAAAATATGAGAACGCTCTTGTCATTGATTATCAATGAAAACAACTACAGTGTACACGGAATTTTTCAGTTTACATATGATGTATTAGAATATTAAGATTTAAGGATATATGTGAGTTCCACATTTCAGCTCCGCAGGAGCTGCGCTAACAAGCTTTTCTTTTCTTTTCTAGATATAAAAACTAATTATTGACAATGAAACAAACATTCTAAGAATTACATTAGTAGTGATATTAATTGCTTTCAGTTATATGTTGAATGGATCTTAGAATAATTTTCAAACAACCATTATATCGTAAGAAATCATACAGCTGTATGGCTATATATCGTGATCATTTTGTAATATTCTCATCATTACCGAATTTCAATTTATAAGCTAATGTTGACTGAAACAAACAATTTCTTATCTAATTTTAAGTCGCCAAGTGATCTACAGTAGATTGTCATATGCTGTTCGTATAAAAAGCAGAAAAATAATTGCAAGGGTTGAGAGAAAATCAAGGGGGAAAAATCGGAATCCTGGAATCCTGAATTCCTCTGGATTCCAAAGATTCCCTGTGATTCTTTCGGATTCCAAGGATTCTCTAGGATTCCTTAGGATTCCGTAAGATTTCCTAGGATTTCGTATGATTCCATCAGATTCCGTAGGATTCCATAAGATTTCTTAGGATTCCATGAGATTCTATTGGATTCCTTAAAACTCCTCTAGATTTTCAATAAGCCTCTAAAGCTGTCAAAGCACTCCCTGTGTTAACGTTAGCTTTGGTCGTACGAACTGAGCCAAAATGGAGTCTATTACTCCACACTATACCCATTTTAAATATATAGTACAAATAGTTATCAATAAGTATCGTCAATTGTCGCTGATGTTTTAAAGAAACTCCAGATTGTTCCCAAAACGGAACAATAGTACTGTGATATCGGAAGTGCCATTCCCAAAACAGAACAGCGCACCTTAATTAACCATAATTAGGTGAGTATTTGACTAATTCATACTAATTAAGATAAGTATTCATCTTAATTAGCGCTAATTAGTCAAGTAATTATCTTAATTAGTGCTAATTAGATGAGTACTTGCCTAATTAGTCATAATTAGCTGAGTAATAATTAACAATCAACTAATTACTACTCACCTAATTATGACTAATTAAGGTAAGTACTCATCCAATTAGCGTAAATTAAGTTGAGTACTTGTCTTAATTAGTACTAATTGGTCAAATACTCCCTGATTGTGGCTAATTAATGTGCGCTGTTCTGTTTTGGGCATGGCACTTCCGGTATCAGAATATTATTCTGTTTTGAAAAAAAATTTTCGGATAACTCACTAGGGAACGTTTTCAGATGTCGGAACACTTTTCAGTCGGAGTTTCGTGCATCTTGTAGCCCTTAGTGAGCTGTGTCTATAGTTAAAAAAGTTCGGGTTTCTGGTTTGTTTTTGAGGAGTTAGAACGTTTTTACTATTATAGCTATAAGGGTAATTGTATCAGGAAAAAGTACTATGTCAACGACTATAAGTTGAAACAAGCTGAGATTTTTCTCACATATAGTTGTGCTAATATGTTATGAAACTGATAACTCTATCTTCCCAAGGTGTTTTGAGCTCAGACTTTCACATTATCTTCCACATAAATACAACTATATGTGAGAAAAATCTCAGCTTGTTTCAACTTATAGTCGTTGACATAGTACTTTTTCTTGATACAATTACCCTTATAGCTATAGTAGTAAAAATGTTCTAACTCCTCAGAAACAAGTCAGAAACCCGAACTTTTTTAACCATAGACACAGCTCACTAATGGCTACAAGATGCACGGAAATTCGACTGAAAAGCGTTCCGACACCTGAAAATGTTCCCTAGTCAGTTCTGATAGATATATTTAACAGTTCGTCAAGTTAGAACTATTGGCCAACTGTTGTACCCCTAATTATGATGTTCTGACAATATTTTTATAATGAAGACAGAAAATGTTCGGATCACGATAAAGTACCAGCTCGCATTTTGATTGGTTCACTTTCTCCATATGAAGTGAACCACATTTCTTTGACTAGAATGTTTGGCTCACTTATTATGACCTTCATGTTTCCATGTTGATATCTTTTTCCGTTTCGACATTTATGAATTATATTCTATTTTCTTGTATGTTTACTAATCTTAACCTAAAATATATATCATAAGGGATCAATTTGCAACTTCCAGGTTTGAACAAAAGAGATCCTCAATGAGAAAATTACGATAAATGTTCTTAGACTGTTCTATTAATTGTTGATGTATTTAAACAGGTTTTCCTGCAATAGTACTATTTCTAAGGACGTTTGAACTAAAGATTCCAACGTTCTATAGGATTCCATCGGATTCTATTGGACTCCATTCGATTCCATCGAATTCTATTCGATTTCATTGGATTCCATTGGATTCCATTGGATTCTATCGGATTCCACCGGATTCCATTTGATTCCATTTGATTCCATTTGATTCCACTGGATTCCATTGGATTCTATCGGATTCCATTGGATTTCACCGGATTCCATGATTCCGTGTGATTCCGCAAGATTCCACAGGATTCCAGGAATCCAGGATTCCGTTTTCTCCCCCTTGTATCCACCTCAGTACCTAGGAATTATCATTAGAACTGACATAATTCCTGGGTTCCTCGGTGGTTTTCCAAAATATACCTCTACTTATAGGTTTGATATCTCAATTCCTCTAGTTCCCCGAGGCATTGAAGGTAGGTTCCTTGAAGGTATCCACCTCATTACCTAGGAACTATCATTAGAACTGACGTAATTCCTCGATTCCTCGGTAGTTTTTGCAAAATATACCACTACTTATAGGTTTGATATCTGAATTCCTCTAGTTTCCCGAGGAATTGAAGGTAGGTTCCTTGAAGGTATCCACCTCATTACCTAGGAACTATCATTAGAACTGACATAGCTCCGCGATTTCTCGCCGCTTTTTTAAGATTGTTACTCTAAAAGAAGAAAGGATACACATCGTCCCCGACCAGGATTTTTCACGACAGAATCAATTCGCCCTATTCCCCTTCAGTCACTAAACAGTTTCCCTAAAGTTCTACAAAAATTTTACTGACATTTCTCCGAGGAAAATTTTTCCGCTTATATATTCAGGCAAATCTTCTTTTCTAAAATCGCACAAAATCTCGTAGTTTCACTGTGAATTTCATTAATTCCCCCGCGGGAATGATCGAAGCATTCTCTCAGATATCCACCTGACTACCTAGGAACTATCATTAGAACTGATATAATTCC